TTTTTAGTACCATTACATGGATAAAGTAATGCGTTAAAGAGTCTACGCACTGACGAAAGTATTCTCATTCTCCCCCCGGATGACGGAGGTTCAGTCGCCATTTTGAACAAAGCAGACTACAATAAGATGTTGGTAGTGTTAGAAGATAGAACTACCTAAAAACCAGTTTCTGCGGACCCTACCTAAACATCTATGGAAAAAGAAGTCGTTTACAAGATCCTTCGTGATGCATGCTATGCGGTTTATTAAGGCCAGACTGGAAAATCCGCCTCCCCACGTATTTACGAACATCAGTTGGCGGTAAAGAGGCGAGACCACCTGTGTCAAGTGGCCGTGCTCACCCTGGACACTGGACACGCCTTCGCTTGGGAGAAAACTCGTATTGTCGCTGTGTGCCCTTCCAAGAAAGGCCGAGAGTCCCTCGAGGACATGTACTCAGGCGAACTGTGCGTCAACCGGCACATCAAGTTGGATGCAGCGAATGCTAAGCAGAACGTACTGACACACACGGCGACCGCTTACTGGCACGAACGCCAAGTGATTATTGATTTTTAAGTGCACATAAGATGTTAACTGTGTTGGCACTTTTGTTCTCCGTCTGCGTCTGATGACGATCCGGAGAACCGGCATCAAACATTTGCATACTAAACTTCCTTTTCTCATAGAACATATTTGACTTCAACATACATACATGTGCTGAAAATAAGTACCTATAAGGGCAACGGAGGCCGTAATGGCCATTTCTGGCTTATTAGCCGCTAGCAGCCAGTGAAGCCCAGCCCGAGATTTCCATGAAACCTGAAGTCCGAAACCGCGTTCCTTTGGTTAATAGTCTAAAGGTCTAACCATAAAAGCACAAGGTTCACGTTTGTGGTCGGGTATATAAACTACGGTAGAGGGGCACTCAGCGTTCTGGTTACGAGACGTATTCGCCCCGTCGCGTCTTGTACTGGCGTTTCGGAAATTTCCTCGTTTCAATCATCAGAGCCGTATGTTGAGTGTTACTGTTCGCCTTTTTTTATTTAGCCACGGTGACTACCTCGTGTTACAACTGTGTCTTACTCACGAACTTCGACTTCCTGTGCGCTGCTGACTACTTTTGGTCTCCCCATGGTCGACTGATGGTCGGCTCGAGTGACCTTTATACCCTTTGAAGACGTCGTACTTGAAACCAAGTTAGTGTACTTGTTGGTTTGTCTTTGGTCATTTAGCGGACTGATCAGTTGTTCATATTCGTGCGAACTGTCTTCAGCCATGCGGGCGCATCAGTGGGACAATTTCACGCCGATCACGTGACCCCCGGCTGGCCCCTCTACTCTTTCCCGCGGGCGCCGGCTGTCGGTCCCGCGTAACCTTGTCCGCCTGTTCTGTGGACCCTGTCCCAACTGATTTGAGATTTGCGCGTAGCACCTGACAGATTGGATGCAGGTTTAGCCGAGGACCAGTTTTGAGCGCCAGTCTGGTCATCTCACTAGCTCGGTCGACTACTCTCCCTTTCTCAGACGAAACAGTGGTTCTGTTAGTTATTTCTATCGTTGGTCTCCCAGCCAAGCAACGGAAATCTTAAGTAATATAGATTTACGGCTCCCCAGCTGAAAGACAAATGTCAAGAAATTATGCTCTCGACGGCTTAAGCGCGATAGATAAGTGTCACACGAAATCCAGGATGCTGGCCGTTGGGAGACTGGAGTTCAAAAGGCCGCGCCGCTGGGTGGCTAAGACGCAGCTATAAAGGCAACACGATTGCTCGCCGATGTCATAGGTGAAAGATTCTGAATCTACAAGTTCACAGTCAAACTCGCAAGTTCATGAATAATAGGACATCTGTTTACAGGGGTCTATAAGGATACTACATCCAAGGTAAACACTTGAGCGTTTGTTAGAAATGTCCAATTCGGATGGCCGAGGCGGGGCAGCAAGCACAGCAGAAGATAAGGCTAAGTGCTGTAGAGGACAGGTACGTAGAGCGTCGCATAAAATTGAACTACACAAAAAGGACGGAGGAAATTAGGATCCAACCGCACAGTCCGATGAGAAAGCAACTTCAAAAGGGCACTAGAACAATTCAAACAAACCCATGACTTTGACAGAAGGAAAAATTCAGAGTGGATACAAATGTATTTTTCTGGGCAAATATCTATGCATATAAACATCAGGAGGCACCCCTATGCACAAGTGGTATGCTGGGCTGGAGGTGTGGGTTACTGCGTAAAAACAGGTACAGACATCTGGGGAGTTATTTTTAATCGGTGGTATCTGCTTTCTCTGGCCCGCACCGGTCTCAACACACAGTCAAACTGCCTCCGGAATACTGGCGCGCGTAGATGTAGTAGGTATCTCCTTATGCAGCTTATTTTATGGGCCCAGAAAATAACTAGAGAAAGTTCCTCTCCAATTCGTGAGCTCACCCATGGCTAGTACGACACACACGGATGTGCTGCAAGAATAAAACTTCACCTACGTCACCAACCCCATGAAACATCTTGTGAGTTGCGATTAAACCTAGGCGCTGTCCTTTCCTGGTTAGATTGGTGCGATCGGATCCTTCCAGTCGAACAACGTTTAGGAGATGTCGAAATGATCAAACGTGCTTTTTCTGCACAGGATCGCTAGTTGCGGGTTCTTACCGAATTAGTCTTTTCAGTAGATTTTCTTGGTTACAAGCTTCTTCTCAATGCAGCCGTTGCCGGATTTTCGGTTAGCCTTTTTCGCGAACTCGGTTCACTTGCATCTTTGTGGCGTTAACCTGCACAATATCACTCGAGGCAAGTAACAAATCTAGGGGACAAGAATTCACTTACTTAACTCCCTATTTGGCTAATTGGTAAGGAGCAGGCGCTTGGGGATTTAGCTAAGAATCAAAAATTCTGAAAAATTTGTCAATTGTTTGCCCGCATCCAAGTGGACTTGAGAGTCAAGCTAACCATTAGTACGCGGCAGAAATCTAGAAAGGTTTGGTTAGGGAAAGGCCAGCTAACTGCTAGATGGCGTGTAACGACTAAATTGAGTGCGAAGAACGTTAAAATTTAAAATGCAGGCAAAGTTGACGACTGAAAAACGGAAAACGGCGACTTATAAACGGGCTACATCTGATGAGACATGGGAATAATGGCGAGCGAGAAAACGGAGAGGACTAATAGCACCCACACGTTACGGAAATGCGCCTAAAATTCAGAAATGCCACAAAAGCAGACAACTTCTGCTTGTTTAAAAATGAAATTAAAACGTTGGTGGGTGAAAGCAGGAAGTTAGCATGTGGTACTGTCTCGATGGTGGACAACTTAGACATAAAGAGCGGATATTTCCTAGCTCTCTCCTAGTAGATAGCGCTGCCTAATGGACAGAGTAAGGACGACATTGTCTCCCGAATCGATGCTGCCCGCTGGGTTTTCTCAAGTCCTCGGAAATGCCTGTGGAACCGACGTGACCTCTCCATCGCCACTAAGATTCGCGTGTACCACGCATCTGTCCGGTCTGTCCTTCTCTACGGTTGTGAATGCTGGGCTTTGCGCGTGGTGGACGAGCAAAAACTAGAGGTATTTGACCACCACTGTTTGAGGACCATCCTTCGAGTGAAGTTAACCGACTTCGTCTCAAATGAGACAGTCCGCGCTCGCTGCGACAACATCTCAAGGATAACACAGGCCATCCAAGAAAGACGAATGAGGTGGTTCGGGCATGTTCTTCGTCGTCCACCTCAGGAGCTCAGTGTTACTGTCCTTGATCCGGCACCGTTGCCCCATTGGAGGCGTCGAAGAGGGGGTCAGTTCAAAACCTGGCTCGACACAGTTCGTCAAGACATGGAGGTGGTTCTTGGACCTTCGGTATTCGGTCTCCGTCGTTGGCGAAGGGAATGGGTTGAGCTGTCCAGATCTGCTGCCGCGAATCGTCACGCGTGGAGAGGTACAGTTCGGGACATCATCGAGGCCGGCTAGATCAGGCATGACCGCAGCCATATCATGTACATGTAAGTAAGATAGCGCTGTATGCCCGCTTGCCTCTAACGTGGAAGCAAGATGTTGCTTAAATCATCTCCATGTGGTGTAAGCGGTTCTCTGACAACTCGTCCCAGGGCTTGCCCGAATCTCGCAAAACAGTCGGCCGGACTCGTGTATTCACTCGTGAGTTGACTGAAGTTTACGGATATTCCTATGTATTGTGTATGGCCTTTACGGCACTCCCACTCCGTGGGATCCGAGTAAGGTGTGACGGCACGCCTGGGTGTGGCCTCGGCCGTGACAGCCACCCTTTTATTGTTGGTCAAAAACCTGGCCATTTTCTGTGTGGACCAGGGGGATGTGGGGTGGGACGCCAAGGTGCGGGCTCGACCGTGCCATCCACCTGAGCCCTCTCCCGCCTCCGGTCTTCTTGACTCTGTCTTGACACCGGGCCCAGGAGGGGGGGGAGGAGATGATGCGCGAGTCTACATTCAGTATAAACTAAATCACGCACGCCAATTCTAGGTAGGATGATGCAGCCCTTGGTTAGTTGAGCGTCTGTGGGTGTATACTGCGGCCATGGCAAGAAGTCAGAAGTGCAGTCGCTTGCAGACCGCTGGCTGAAGATATATTCACTCTCGCCAGGTATGATCTGTGTGTCCATGTAATCGACCGGACGTTGCCGTTCCATCTGGCGACCGTAACCTGTAACGCACTTGCTACAGCTTTCACAAGGTAAATTAAGGGTGTTGTGTTGGGGGTGAGGTATACGATAGTGCGTGAGCGTTGTAGGACGGATCAGTGTCTTATATACCGCCTATGATTGTCACCGAATAGGCATTTAGTCTATGATAGCTTGTAAAGTAGGAATGATTGGTGCTTTTCCTCTCGATCCCCTGCGCTTGTCAACATTCGGCGGAGAACAAACTAGTATATTCGCCGGCCGCACTTTTAGTGTCCTGTCAGCAGATGAGATTAACTTCCAGCTAGCATTTAAGGCAAGCAACAGACGGAAACGCGTTCTCTTAGGCTCGACCCTTTATGCCGTTGTTCTGGGTAGACATGCCTCCCGTAAAGTTTTCAAGAAAATGGAACGTCGATCACCAGTCTGACCTTCAACAGCCTGAGGAAGCCTTCAAAAATTCCTTCAACAGAGCTTATAATCGGCAACAAAAACGCGGGCAAAAGACCGACTTCAGTGATGCCGTTGATGGTTAGTCACCAAGATTTTGGGGACTAACCATCAACGGTACTGTCCCTGATAGCATTCTAGGCGCCAGGGCTGGCCCGGTCACCTGGCCGCGGGCTAATTCTGCGATTGGCTCAAACTTTTCGGCAGTCTTGGCAGACACTGTGCGCGCAGTAATTCTTTCGTGTGACTGACTGCAGGAAATTTACGCGCCCTCTTAGGCTGGTTGGGGGAGGGTTTTTGCACGCGTACGCACATAAAAGTGCCCTGTGTGTGTGGCTGAAGTCGAGTGTCTAGTCAAGCCACTCAAGTCAGGAAGTGTCGGGTCCCTATTGAAGTCGACTATGCATTTTCACCCCAGCAGGAGAGTGGTACCGTCAGTGAGACACTGAAGTGCCACGGAGGTGGGCGACAGAACTAACACGCAAATGCGTGAAGGTAAGCGTCGGGGAGGGGATGTGGCAGTGACGATGATGTCATTGCGAAGACAAAGCAAAGTCAGCCCAATAGATTACTAGGTCTACACTCACTTGCAAATTAAAGCCGATAGCAGATGTCTATAGATCCATAGATCTATGCAGATCTATAGATCTGGGCGGCAAAATGTTATCAGGAGCACATTAGTATTCAAAATTAGGGATTGCTTACCTGTGTTTGTCAAATTCATATTAAATTAAAACTCATTCAACTTTCACTCCAACATACATGTTTTCCTGCAACATGTCAGATGATAGAGACGTTCAGACTGACTACTGGGATGATGGTTTCGCCGCACAGCCATAAGACGGTAGGCGGTCAACATGCGGCACCACGCCTAATGTGCACAACCAACGAGACCAACAACGAGACAGCTGAATCGACCAAATAAAACAAATCAGAGCAAAAAAATATAACTTGAGTCTGCTTAGTAACGGCAGTGTTTACAATGAAAAAATGCATGCATACCAAACTTGCTATCACCAGTGCCTACCTTTAGTCGTCCCTTCCTCAATCTAGCAGATCTACCTGGTGGCACCTGTCATCAATGACAGTCGGAGTTATTGGAAATCGCGAATAGCTGCACAATGGTTCCCTTTGCGGCGACTCAGTTCAGCCCATACCCGGTTTCGTCCGTTTTTGGTTTTTCTGAAACATTTGTGTTTCAGTAGTGGTTTCTTTTTGCGCCTATTGCAGCGTTCTACTTTGCGTCGTCCACCACAGATTAGATGACTGATTGTATCCATTGCTGCAGATGTCCCTTTCATACTACGTCAATTATACTCATTTTTTTCCTCGGTTTTTTATCTGTGACCTCGTGGCCTAAGTACATTTTCGGCTAAAATCCGTTTGCGTTTGCTCGTTAAATGCTGAACTAGAAAATTATAAGTAAGCAGAAGTGGTCGACCAACAAAGCACTCTGTTTGTTGTTATGAGCTTTCGAACTCTTTCAGGAGTCGATCGTCAGAGCTAGCAGCAACAACTGAACGGTCGAAAATCATAAGACATGCTAGCAAATCCTCGCTTGGTGGCGCAAGACTGGAGGCGATAACGCAGAGCTCTGTACGCCTGCGCCACATCGACAAACCTACCGACTGAGTTCTCATCCGAGGCTGGTTCGAATCATTTATCGAGCTGTTTTATTCCAGTCGCTGGCAATTATCTTTCTGGCTGCGAAGTTGAACTCAGGGCCAATTTTGTAAGTGGGGGCTGCCACTTGTGATAATTCGTCGCCTCGTCGCACCGCTAGCTTATGTTCGTCTATGTGCGTTCCGAGTGTGCGTCCTGTTTGGCACAGGATGCGATACGCTAACACAAAATGCTGCTCGGGATTTAGTCGGTCCTTGATGTTCATGACCTTGATGTTCATTGTGGCTTCAGGCCGGCATGCAATTCCAATGCCCACTTACACAGCAATGCGCTCGATCGCTTCTGAAGCATCCTTTATGTACAGTAAATAGTGTTATGTCCTCGGCAGCGTTGCTGTTTGGATCCTCTGGGTACGATCGTGACGGCAGCGACTTATAAATGCCTTCGGATAACTATTCTGTACAAACCGGTCGGGGAGATAATGGGCCTCCTGTACTCTTTCCTTAGTTTGCTGCAATGAGTTTGGGTCAGTTTAAAGAGCGTTTCCACACAGCTTCGTTTGTGAACCATCGGATGATCGCCGTGTAAACTGCGGAAATGTAAGTTGTTCAGTGCCTTCATATCAGTCGTCTTCTCAGTTTCGTGATTATGATTTCGTCTGACGAGCAAACAAAGCAAGAGCAGTTGCCGGTCCTCTTCCTCATTTCTCGTGAATTTTACATCAGAAAAGACTGTGGTTAGCACGTTGGTGAAATGTTGTAGCATGTCTTTCTTTTCGATAACAAACTGGTCGTCTACGTAACAGCGCCAAAATACCAGCTCATATTGGACGAAGGCAATCCTTTCTAGCTCCTGTGAGCCTAGTTCTGCAACTACACCGGAGACCGACGAGCTCTTTGGAGTTCGCTTGGCCTGCTCATAGATCTGCCCAGCAAAAGAAAAGTAGGCTTGGTGACAGAATTCAAACAGATTAATTAGGTGCTCGATTTTAATTGTGCTCTGGCTCTCATCGCATTCCTCTTCAAGTTTCTTGCGCAGGACTTCGCGCGCCACGTTTGGCGGGATTGATATGAATAAGGGCGTCACATCGAAGGAAACCATGACTTTATTCGATTGTGTCCTCCGACCTCGGTGGTCTATGAGTAAAAAAGAGGCTGCTTGAACTGAGCTAGTCGAACTGCATTGGAGAAACGGTAGTTTTGAGTGCATCCACGTTACCAAGTTAGAGGTGGGGCTGCCGTTTAGGACAACGATTGGCCGCGGTGGTACATTTGCTTTATAAATATTTGAAAAGCAAAATCTGTTAATTACGAGGATGAGTCAAGCACTGGGGGCTCCTATATTCTGCTAAAAGTCCAGAAACTCGAAAAAGAGCTGGATGCTTTAAGGGAACTCGTGCAAGCGAACGATGGTGGGAAAAACGCGGTTAACAGCTCTAGAGTTAGCAAGATAAAGGGGAAGATCAAAATTCCGAAACAGCCAAAGAACAAGGTTTGTGTAAAACCTCAGTGCAAGGACGCCGATACTAATGACGATGGGAAAATAGCAAAGGAATCTCCTGTTTCTATGGAAGACACCCGATGCGAACCATCAACTTCTCTCAGCCATTCCGCGCGTACAGTAGAACCCTTGGATGGAGTTGAGGAAGCAAGCTCGTGGCAAGGTAAAATGGGTAAGCACCATAACAGGAGTACAAAACCCCAGACGAATCCGGTGGATCTTCTGAGACCTTCAGCTGACAAGGCCGCCGGAAACAGAACAAATGAACCCCTGGATTGTCAGCACTGCGTAGTCGTCCAGGGCCTATCGGAGTCGAATGCTCCTACCCCGAAGGAGAGGATTTCCGCTGACCTCGATATGCTTCAACGCCTACTGACCAAGATGCATAATTCAAATGAAAAGGTAACCATTCGAGCAGTCTTCAGGATAATAATAATTTTATTTAATGCCAGTTTACAGGCATTGTCAGGGAAGCGTTAAACACAAATCTGACCAGCAGTGAAAAAAAACTCCTGTGGAAAAGTAATAAAAATATAGTTGATGGTGGTTTTTATGGTTTGGAGGGTTCAGGAGAAAAAAAACTGTTGGCGACAAACTTTCGACCGTCAAAAAGGGAGGGGTTGCACGGTATAGGATATTATCAGTCGCCAATTCATTTCATGAATTTAGGGTTAGTCCAACCAGAAGCGCCGAAGAACAGCTGTCGCTGCTGGCCAAAGAAATCGTCCCTGCTGAGACCGCCGTAGTGGTCAGAGACCACAAACGCCATCGCTACGGCAGAGTCAATCAGTGGATTCAGCACCCACAATTTGTGGGAGCTTTTCTGAATGCAAAAATCGAGTAATAATTCTCTTAAATAAACGATAATTTCGCAGATTTTTTACATTCCTGGGTAGTTTATTCCAAATAGCAATAGCATTTAGAGAAAAGACTGAAGCACAGGCCCAGCTCCTGTTACGGAGAAAATCATCTCTGCGGGGTCAGCATCCTGAAGTTTTTTTCAGCCTGATTACGAATCAAAAGAGCGAATAAAAATGAGAGAGCTAATAACTTAGCTGGAAAAGCGGAGAAGCAGCGGCGAAACACACCTACAAATCAAAAACGGACAAATAATTCAGGTCAAAAGGACATTTCTGTGGCCGAAGCCAGTCATTCTGACAGCCTAACTGATGCAAAGGTGCCAACTCCTGAGGCTGCTCGCATCAGTGGCCGTTGTCTAGAAATCTATTACACTAACTGTCAGAGTCTTCTAAACAAGCTAGATGAACTCAGATTATTAGTCTCTGAACAGAAGCCACACATAATTGTCCTAACAGAGACATGGTTGAATGAGGAAATTAGTAGTAGCGAAGTCAGAATTGAAGGCTACCAACTGTTCCGTTGTGACAGATTTCAGCGTAGAGGAGGAGGCATAGCGAGTTATGTGTCAAATGAAATTGCGTGCTGTCAACGAGAAATATCCGATGGTGCGCCCCGAAATTTTGAAATAATTTCATGCAAGATATTTATCAAACAATTACCGACACTGATCCTGTATGTTGTCTATCGGCCTCCTAGCTCGAATGAAATCGCCCATATGGAATTGCTTAGTGCACTGAAGTTGTTATGTAAGCAGGAGAACTTACTACTTATGGGTGACTTCAACGCTCCAGGAATAGACTGGAACATTCCCCTAACAAACGCCCCGTCCACGTAATTTGACCACAAGCTACTTCAACTCTCCCTGAATGAATACCTCATTCAGCACATAAAATTCGGAATAAGAATGAGAGAAGGACAACAATCTAACTGTTTAGATCTCGTTTTCAGTAAAGAAGAAGGAGACATAAGGGAAGTGAATCCACAACCTCCACTCGGTTTAAGCGATCATATTGCTTTTGCCTGCGTGTGCTCTCTCCTATCCAACCAACAACCGGAAATCCAGAGGCGCAGAAATATTTGGAAGGGTGACTTTAACGCAATGAGACGCACTCTTTTGGAGGAAACCTGGTTGGTCAACACAGAAGATTCAGACGAATTTTGGCAGTACTTTCGCGGGATTATAGAGAGCCTAACTGACTCCCATTGTCCAATAAAAATGACAAGATCATGTTCGCGACCGCAGTGGGTCAATCCGACGACAAAAAAGACCATGAAGAAGAAACAGAGACTGTGGAAAAAGTATTTGCAACTTTGAGATCCAAGGTCATTCGCCGAATATAAGGATCAGCGCAATAAATGCCGCAAAGAAATACGGGTTGCTAGAACTTCTTTCGAGCGCCGACTGATAGCAGAATCCATTGCATGTCCCAAGATATTTTACGGGTACATCCGCAGTAGGAGGAAACATAGGGACGAAATTGCGTGTCTTAAGCATAGCCTCGGAAACTTATTAGTTGAAGGGCCACAGAAAGTGCGATTACTGTCTCAGTTTTTTCAATCGGTTTTTACGGAGGAGTCCTTAGAAGACAATCGGCAGTTTGAAATGGACCGAGACAACCGGGAGCTTCAAATGCGCTGAGATATTGCCGTCATTGAAACCATCGCCTTAACTTGCCTCCCTTGCAAAACGATGAAAGCTATAGTAAAGAGCGCCATACAGCAATTTTGTGAAGAAAATAACACCTTGCAGGATTTTCAACATGGCTTCCGGAGAGGACGTTCCTGCCTCTCAAATCTGTAAGCTTGTCTGGAGATCTGGACCAAGGCTCTAGAAGAGGGTTTTGAGGTCGATGTCGTGTACATCGATTTCCGCAAAGCTTTTGACACTGTCTCGCACCAACGTCTTCGTCACAAATTGAGCGCCATCGGCATCCGGGGAGATCATCTGAACTGGATTAGGGCGTTTCTGGTTGGTCGGAAACAACGTGTCTGTATCGGGGATGATATGTCAGAATGGGTGAACGTGACCAGTGGTGTGCCGCAAGGCTCAGTTCTGGGACCATTGCTCTTCATCCTTTACGTTAACGACAGCCTTCAGGAATTCGACTGCGGCAAAATAATGTTTGCAGACGATGTTAAGCTCTGGCAAGTCATTAAGGGTCCGAATGATCAGAGATCCCTTCAAGATAATCTGCATCGACCGCAAGCGTGGTCGAAGAAATGGCTTCTAGATTTCAATGTGGAGAAGTGTGCCGTCCTTCATCTGCGTCCAACCAACTCTCATTCAAATGAGCGCCTGAGGACATATCACCTGAAAGATATAAGGCTCCCCGCAGAATCTTCACAGAAGGATCTCGGGGTTTGGATACAGAACAACCTGTAACCAACACTGCAGTGTCACAAGGCTGCAAAAAACGGCATGGGAGTGCTGCATGCAATCAAAAGGGTTTTCGTTAACTTTGACCAAGACCTTTTTGGGAGAGTCTACGGCACTTTTGTTCGGCCCCACTTAGAATATGACATACATGCATGGCGGCCATTGCTAGTAAAGGACCAAGCATGCCTCGAACGAGTACAACGGCGTGCAACAAAGCTGGTAAACGGTCTAAAAAGCCAATCCTACACAGACGGACTGAATTGCCTTAATTTATTCCCTCTGTGTTACGAGCAGCAAAGAGGTGATCTTATCCTCGTCTACAAGATAATACATGGCCTTGAGCATGGACTTACATTTGAGGACATGTTTCAGTGGCACCTTTCACCCAATCTTCGTGGTCAGTCGGTGAAGTTACGGACAATAATGTCCAGGCTGAATCTTCATTCTGAATTTTTCACGCAGAGGGTAGTGGAGAAATGGAACGATCTCCCTTAGTCAGTCGTGGAGGCGACGTCTCTGCAATTCTTCAAGAAACGCTTGGATGATTATTTGTGTCCCCTGTTTTCCCTCGACAGTGTGAAGCTGAACTAAGACCCCACGTCCCCACAAATATTTTCTCTGAGACAATGCTACTCAAATGAATTAAGTACTGTTTTACTAGCGAATAATTTTTGTTCGTGTACAGTTATTTCTACCGAGCTGAAATGTAATCAATAGGGTTTTCAAAGGCTTTGCCTATTATCCTTACCAAATAAACTGAAATAAACTAAAACTTAACAATCCGTGCCAGAGGAAGAAATAAAAAGACCTCGCGGTTACTGTAACGTCGTGGGTGGATATGATGTCTTCAAGAGGTGAGTGGGTTAAATGGGTGATTATATAAAAGTTTAAATAGAAAAAATAGTCCCTTTTGTAATCTACGGAACCATAAAGGATCATGGCCCGTAAGCCGGTAACGTTTTTGGTAAGACAAATGTCGGTGTTGCGGGGTTCAAATTCTCCTGGTAAAAAAGTGTTGAACGGATTCTATTTTCTTCCGCTCAGAAGCACGCATGAGGCTAAATAAAAACTAACAGTATTCCAGGCCAGGTCTAACGTACATGTTGTAAAGGCGCATTTTAATGTCCCTAGTTTTGAAGTTTCGGAGGATGAACCCGGTCGTTCTACGTACTTTGGAGACTATCAAGGCACAGTGCTCCGAGAGATTGAGACTCTTGGAGTATGATACGCCCAGATCCTTAATAACCTCAGGCACATTTATGGCGTGACCTTCAATGCTTAGTTGAGGTTGGCGGTCATCGCCAACTACCATGACTGAGCACTTATGCCAAGAAAGAGAAAGGCACCATGTGCGGCACCACTGGGCGA